CGCGCGCCCGCCCCCCCGCACGTGGCGCCCGAACTCGGCGCGGGCCCCGCTCGGACCGTTCCACAGTCTCGTCCCAGGTGAGTGCGGGCCCCGGGCGGGGGCCGCCTGCGAGCGGCTCGCCGCCTCCGCGCGGGCTGGAGGGGGAGCGGGCGCCCACGGGCTCGTCGCGCCCCATTGTGCCGCGCGCCCCTTTGTGCCCGCTCGGAACGCCGCGACTCCATGGCGTTCCGGGAGCACGCGCGCCGCGGCCGGGGAGGAGGAGGAGGGAGGGGAGGACGCACGGTGGAACGGTCCGCGCCGCCGCCGCCAGGCCGGCCCCACTCGCGCCGCGCGCCGGCTCTCCACCCCCGGCGGGGCCGGCGATGGAGCGGCCGAGGGCCGCCGGGGAGCAACTGCGCGGCGCCGGGGCGCTCGCGCTCGACCGGCCTGTGGCGGGGATGGAGGGGTGTCAGAGGGAGCAGAGGGGCGGGGAGCCGGAGGCCGGAGAGCCGCCGCTCGGAGGGACGCTGCCCCGGGGAGGCTGCGGAGGGAGCGAGGCCGCCGGCGGCCGGGAGCGGGGTGGGGCGAGCCCCGCCGCCAGGGGGCGCGGCGCCTTCCCGGGCCGTTCCACGGCGCTCCGTGGTTCCCGCTGCCCGGCTGGAGGCGGGCCCAGCGCGGCGCTCTGGGTGTGCACCCCGGCGAGCGCGAGGCCTTCCCGGCCGGCGGTGGAGCCGACCCGGGGCGCCCGCCGCCTCTCGTGACTTGTGCCCGCCACGATCGATTTGATTTCCCACGTAGACTTGGCTCTGCCTGGGCTGGGGCTGTGCCGAGTTGTGAGGGCCTTGTGTGCCGGGACCGGTTCATCTGAGTTCTGTTTTTCTTTTCTTTTTCTTTTTTTAAAGTTTTTACTGAAATACAAGTTTGATCTCAGGTGGCCCACTTGGGAGTATTTTGGAGGTTGAGGCCAACCAGAGATGCTCTGAATTAGATGAATAGATGTTCGCTATTTGAGAGTCAGAGAACTGTAGAATTAAAAGAACTTCCAAGTTAAAAGTAACTTTTGAATGTTCTCCTACAAATAACACGTCACGGGGTAGAGAGGATGGGACCAGAAATCTAAAGACCCAGAAAACCCAGGCGAGTGGAGAACGTGTGGAAACGTCCCAGATAAGAGGTTTTAGGTTTTCCTTTTTTCTGGTTCCATGCCTGCAGTTTTTCTTTTTGTGACAATCCACTTTCAATTTATTGGTGTTTGAGTTTTGTTTTGTTTTCTCGTCTGGGAGGTCAGAGGAGGGCTTTGGACTTACAGATGGTGTGAGCAGCCACGTGGGTGCTGGGAACCTAACCCACGACCTCTGCAAGAGCAACAAGTGCTCTTAAATGCCGAGCCATCTCTCCAGCCCCTAGTTTATAGTTTCATGTGTAACCTTACAGGACTTCAGCTTCCTGGAATACTAGGATTTGGCCGGGATTTTCCCCCCTTTCCATTCCTTTTGAGACAGTCTCCTGTGGCCCCTGCTGGACTCAGACTTGTTTGTTATACAGGCCTGGGTGATCCTGAATTCCTGTCAAGTTGGGATTACAAGTATTTGCTACTACACCCAATTTTTGTGGTGCTTGATGGAAATTAGGACTTTAGTTACAGTAGGCAAACATTTTACCGACTAAGTTACATCCCCAGCCCCAAGATTATTATTTGTACATCTTTTAAAATCTAAACTTTTATATGTATTCTCATATCAGACCAAGACACACATACAAACGTTATGGGCTTTACTAGAGATGCCTTTTGTTTTTGTTTCTTGTAAATCAGCCTCTCGCTGTGGCTTTGAATGACCTGGAGTTTGATATTTAACATAGCTAGCCTTAGAGACCCACCTGCCTAGGCCTTCCAGACATAGGATTAAAGGTCTGTCCCATCACACCTGGCTTGTTGTTGTTGTTGGTCTTTTTAAAACCGAGTCCCTAAATTCTGTCCTGTCCTGTCCTTGAATTGCTATGTAAACCAGGCTGGCCTCAAACTTAAGAGATTGACTGATTCTTCCTGGTGGGGGTGGGGGTGGGGGTGGGGAAAGGTGTTAAAGGAGGCCATACCACCTGGCTTTTGTTGTTTTCTCAGACTGGGTCTCACTATGTGTCCCAGACTGGGGTGGATTTTGGTTTCTCATAGACTAGGCTGGCCTCTAACTCAGGGGTCCACTTACCTGTCATTCCCCTTTCTCCTCCCAGTGTGGGGACCAAAAGTATGAACCACCATGACCACGTCAGAGATGCCGTTTTTACAGTTAAAACAGCAAAGTTAGCTTTCTCCACACATACAAGAAGTAAGACCAGTTAGCCAAAAAGACAGACTAGCTAGCATTCCAACAGTCTGTTAGAGATTGACAGGTTATCTGGGAACCTTTTTGGCACCAAAGGTGGGGGCAGAATAGGAAGAGGATAATTGGACGTAACCCAGGCAGGTTTGATTGGGTGAGAATGTAAGAACCTGTAGGAGACCTGTCTACAGAACTGCCTAGAAAATCCCTACAGCAGCGGGAAGGGAGCAGCATGCTTTGGAGAACTGTATTGGCACCAGCAGTAATAGTTTTTACAGGAGACTAGGGGATGGGGTTTGTGTGTGTGTGTTAATTTTGATAAGTGAGACTATACTTGCTACTCTAATCATAGTATACCCACTACTGACCAACACAACTTGGCATCTGTTGTAGAATTCGTTTTTGGAGTAGTAGAACTTTTACTATTTTGTGGTGTTTAGAGGGAAACATCCATGCTATCTTTTCTAGCCCTTGGCCGACCTGGAACTTGATGTGCAAACCAAGCTGTCCCAAACCTTGTGGCATTCCTCCTGACACTCCTTAGGGCTGGGATTATGGAACCACACCTTGGGTGGGGGTTGTTGTTGACTGAGACAGGGTTTCAGGTAGTTTAAACTGGCCTTGAACTAACTCACTCTACGGCCAAATCTAACCTTGAATCATCTTCCACATTTTGCGCATGCACCCCTGTGTTCATATGGAGCTCAGAGGACTGCTTACAGGAGCGAGACCACTGGAGGGTCTGGAGAGTAAACACCAGTCATCGGGCTTGGTGGCAAGCACCTTCACTGGGTTAGCCATCTCTCCTAGATAAATCACACACACACACCCCAAAACATTCATTGACAAAAAGAGATGCTTTTGATTTTGAGAGCATTACTTTGCATTCAGCTCTTCTCCTTCCCAGAGCTGACTGGACCTTCCTCCCCTTCTTGAGACTCCAATATAGTATTGCTTTGAGTATCACCTCCACCCAAAACTTGCGAGTTCTGGAACTAGGTGCACTCAAGTCAAGCCAAGAGCACTGCGTGTTAGCACTCCATCTCTAGTGTGTTAAACAGGGCACTGTTTCTTCAGGAGCAGTGCTTCGTGCCTGGCATGTTAGTTAGAATTTTGTCTGAAAAGCAGACTTATACGTATTTGTTTTAGAACTAAGGTTTGCTCAGCAACTGCCTTCTTACAACCCTCTCACTTGTTTCTTTTTTATTTGCTTGAAGGATGGGGTTGAGACGGGTTCTTGTCATGTAGTACATCTCCAATGCACAGTTCTCCTTTGTCTTCCTCTTAAATACCGGGACCACAGACATACGGGTCAGTGCAGCTGAGTTCAGCTCCTCTTTCTTGCTCAGGGTCTTTCTATGTAGTGTAGGCCAGACTGTACTAGAACCCATGATTCTTCTGTCTCTGCTGAGGTTGTACCACTCCAAGGCCACCAGCAGAGACTTTCTTGAAACATATATTTAAAGTCAGTGCTCTTAAATTTGAAGGGAAGATTGAGACAGAGGCTCACTCTGTATGTAGCCAGGCAGGTCTTGAACTCCTGGCCCAGATACCCAATCTGGTCAATCTTGTAACATATTTTTGGTTTTTGTTTTCTGCCAATGGCCCCTGTCTCCTTTGCTCATCTGATTTCCATCTGTCAGTGATAACTACGACAGCTACATACATCACTCACATGCAAGGTCTGTTGGTTTGAGCGTGTAGCAAGTGCTGGACCAGAGCTTGCCTGGAGCAGCCAGACTGTGCCCAGAACACTAATTAGCTCATGTGCTCCCGAGACCGGACACTTGAGAAAGTGGACAACACAAAGGAAACTCTGCTTTTGACTCTTAGGAAAGTGAGTCCCCTTTGTCCAGCCCCCAGAGTGCATGCTGGAGCACACTGCCCCGCCCTCCTCAAACCAGTTTCTGGATGCCAGGTCTGAGGGTGAGCCCTTCCCAAGGCTAAAGAGACCTTAAGGAGAACCAGCTAGCGGAGAAAGATACGACATTTAGGCAGATTCAGAAAGCTCAGGGACCAGCGGATTTAGGCATGGCTGTTGGGCATGTGGGCCAGCAGGCAGGGCTGTGTGAGTGCCCTTCCATGTCTGCTGCAGTTGTGCGCTGGCTGCAGAGGGAAGGCAGCCACAGCTATGGCTTTTGTAAAATTCAGGGGCAATTACTTTGGTTTTCTGAGGACTGGTGTTTCTCAAACTGCATTTGCAGTTGTATCTAAAAATAGAAACAAATTGCAAACGTGTCCTGCAAATCCCATGGGTAGGACACCGCTGCCAAGAGCGCCTGCTCTGAGAGCCGAGGCTCCCAGCCGACCTGTGACCTCAGAGACAGACCCCATGAGGGCAGATGGCATGGGAAAGTCTCGCAGGCCTTGGAGGACGTTTGATTTCACTTCACTCCAGCTTGCTTCTTTCGTTTATAATAATATAATAAATAAATAAACTTTATAAAACTTTAGGATGTTTGCTCTAACTTTACAGTTCTTTTAGTAAAAAAGAAAGCTAAAAGTTAAAAACAAAAAAATCACTAAAGGCTGTAAATTTATTGCACACACTTTAAATCACAGTACTATGGGACTGGAAGCAAGCAAATCATGAGTTTAAGGACACCTGGCCTACATAGTGATATTGTCTGAAAAAAAATTAGGATTTACTCTAAAACTTGTTTTACTTTTGTGTATGTGTGTGTGTGTGTCTGTCTGTCTGTCTGTTGTCTGTGGGTGCACCGGTGTCATGATGCATTTGTAAAGGTCAGAGGACAACTTTTAAGGAGTTTGTCCTCTCT